CTCCCCCCCCCCCCCCCAGTTTCTCATAAAATTAAAGATTTAATTTTGGCCTCTAAAACATTTTAGCTAAAATAAAAATATAATCAACTCCACAGTTACTCTTAAACACGAGTAGGTTTCAGGGTTTAAGCAAAATTCTAAACCCAAACATGTCTTCAAACATTACTGTGGCTAAGCCTCCATTAAGTCTTAGTAAACAAATGAGTCTCAATGCATACCTTAAAGATCAACAAATTTATGCTAGCTTGGGCCAAGGAGAAGATGCTGAGGGCAGATTCCATAACGAAAAGCCCCAGGCAAGCAACATCTTTTTGAACTCACATACACTTTTTATACTAATTCATTTCTAATGAAGGAATTCAGATTAGAAAAAGGACAAATTTTACCGCTAGCTGTGTCTCCCCATACTTGCAGAACTGAAGAGAATTTATCCATACTCAAATCAGCATCCCTAGACAAAACCAACACTACCTCATTTACATTCGTCAGGTGAAGCAGTTTATCCCACAAAACACTTTGCTATCCACAAGCATTAACCAGCTGTATGTATTAATATTTCACGAAACTGCCAGTAGCAATCTCTCTGTAAAAATGTCTTCTCCCATTGACCATGCCACAGCAAAAGGAATTTCAGTTTGCTTTTCTGAACAATACATTGTTTTCTAGGGAATTGCTCCGCAACAATATAAGGAAAAACACAGATTAGTTTGTGCAAAGCTTCTGAAGTCTGAGTGCCGGTAACGAAAGAATCTTAGATTTGCCTGTAACTACCAGTTTGTACTAATTAAGGAAGAGAATCACAAGGGGAAAAAAAAGTAGCTGTGAATGCACATGTGGAGAAAGAGGCAGCTGTCTCCGAGCAACTGGAGAGAGGCAGAACATCCTGTCAAGCCAAAATAACAGTTGGTCTGAGGACAGGCACATCTACAAACAATTTTGCTGCTTCTCTCTGAGGAACAGATTGTTTTAGACTCAAAGTAAGGAGCTTGCATTTTCACATTTACCTATAGGTGTTCATTTATCCCATCATATTTGCAGTCAAATCTTCTACAGGCCCAAACCACTAAGAGATGCCCAGCCTTTAACCAATCAAAACTTTACTATGAAAACAGGTCTTACTCCTTCTGTATTACTAGCAGTTAAAATTAATTACTACAGATTGTTGCACATTTTAATTAAAACTTGCCTCAGAAAAATCCTCTAAAGATGTTAGTCGCTCACTACACACTGCCCTAAAATAGCTCAAAACAAATGCCATCATTTAAATTTTCTTTCACTTTCCATCACAGGCAAAAAAGATTTTCCTAAGAGCTTGTCCTGTATAAAACATCCTTTTCAGATACAAATTACGGGGAAAAAGTTCCAGTACTGTTAAAGGTCCATTACATTAGACTGTTATACTTTAAATAGCCTTTTCAAAGTGTATTTTAAATAAGACTTGTCCTGGTTTCACGGGTGAAAAATATTATTTAAAGGGTGATTTCCTAACAGCTTTGTGGAAATTGATACCTGTTCAGATTTGGATGCTGAAAGAATCCAGCTCAACAACAAGGAAAAGTCTGTTGTGATTCTGATTTGACCTTCCAGAAGGACTACTGAAGCTCTTTGTGCAAATTTAGTGTGATTGAAAACAGACACAAGTTTCAAGCCCTCAGATTCCCTTTTTTTTTTTTTTTTTTCCATTCATTTTGTAATGAAAGTTATTCTTGGAACTTCTTTACAAAAATCCAGGGTGCTGCAAGAAACTGCAGCTGCAATTCAGCAGATTGAACTCTTACCTGTATCTCCAGGATGCTGCTTCCAATGACAGCTTCACAGTTTAGAAGGTATGATTAATGAGAAATGGCAATATGGCCACATAAAAGATGGAAATGCAAACAGGAAG